CCATCACCCCCATCACCCTAACTCCTAACTCCCAACTCCCAACCGCAGGGCTCCATAAGGGATAAGGTCAAATACATGGGTCAGCTGCTAGAGGGCTACCTGGTGGGGGAGCCGCGGGTCATCAAGAACTTGGCCAAGGTACCCTGAACCCACCCTTCAACCCCCTCACCTCTCCTCGCCTGGTTGCAGAGAAAGAGCTTTCCGGTGGTTAGTTAGTTATTTAGTTAGTTAGGATAGTAGAGCATTCCGAAGCCGTTCTGTACATCCCACAGAACCCTCCGCACACTGCTCCAGGGCGGCTTTGCCGGGGCGTCAAAACCCGGGGCCTCAACCCTCAAGTCTTGATGATGATGGGGTGGGATTGATGTGTGTCGGTATGTATGTACGTCGGGTCAATGTGCGTACAGACTTGCAGAAGGAATTCGTTGCTACACAGCTGCGGCTCAGCGGTTGGGGCTCTTGTTATCTTTATATGAGCGTGCGTGCATGTGAGTGAGCGAGCGAGTGAGCGAGTGAGTGCGTGAGTGGGATAGCACTGAGTGAGCTATTAGTAGAAATTTGTTATTGTTTGCAAGGACCTGTGCTGCAATGTGCACCCCCGGATGAGGGCCGGTACGGCAGTTAGGATCCTGGCGCCTTCCCTGCCACCTTGAGACCACTGAGGATGAACGGGCGGCGGGGCGGACCTGCACTTGCGTGTGATGCGCTGGGTGGGGTTGTGGCAGAGGGTGCGAGGGGGGGGTGGGATGTTGCATTTGCGGCATAACGGGCTTGGGCCAGCTGGCTGCCAGATGCCGTTGTTGTACTTAACGCACAGACATACCGACGTACGCCTAGCCTTGAGGGGCGAGACTTGAGCTGGCTGTGCACATACTCATGCTGCATATTTGTTTTTTGTTTTTTGTGCTGACTAGCCTTTTGCTCGACCATGTATGCGGTTCTTCTTTCCGCATGCTACGACGCCACTTGCATATTTGGCCGCATGCTGGCCTGTGCTGTGGCACCGCAGCGGTGCGAAAGGGCGCGGATCCGCAAAGTGGTCAGATAAGGGAATGCTGAATGCACAAATGAGAAGTGGGGGATTAAGTGAAGGGTAATGTAAAGACATGGATTGGGGGCGGGGTGGGGAGGGGAAGCAACAATGGATGGAGGGGGTTTTGTTTTAGGATGTTGTGCGTCGGGATGGGTCGTTTGCCCCGTACGAGCAAACAATTTGCATCGGTATGCACAGTTATGCATAATTCATGATGGTTTCATGAAATAATGATAAGGTTACCCTTGCTACAGATTTTTTTTGCCCTGGAGTTTGTAAACGGAACCCTGCATTTTTTGGCGACCGCGCATTTCATGACTACTCCAATTTATCACTGTATTGCATGCGGATTAGATTGTCACTTGCGGGGATGCAAATGGTTTCGCTAGTTTTGCGACCCTGATGTGGACGGCAGGACGACGAGAAGAAATATACAGAACCCAGCACAGAGTGCAAATTAGGTTTTGAACTCGTATCAGAATCAAGGAGCTGCTTGGCAACGAGCAAAATGTGGCGAACAGGTCCCGGTGGCATGGAATGGAACGCAAGCTACATTCCTGTGCCAACCACGCCAGCAGTAAGGCGACCGGACGCTGACTCCCAACACATGTCCAATATATGCCGTCCTTTTTACGGCGGCTGTCGCACCCAGCGCAGCCCAGCCACACTCAAAGGCCCAATAGTAGGGGTAAGGGGAAAGCTCTAGGTCGGATTCAAGTTGGGTTGGGTTAGCCGCTGCTGCTCCCGCTCCACATCACCGCACAGCTCCACCCAAGCCCCTAAACAGCTGCACATGGGGTCCAGCGGGATTTACCGGCTGACCGTAAACTCCTTCAGACCCATCCCCCGGCCCTTTTCCCCCCTTGCCCGATCCCTCCACACTACGAATGAAACCTAAGTCCTCCCCATCCACCCCCGAGTCCGTTACCTCCTGAACCCCTCTTCTACTCCCCACCTCAACCCCTTAACCCAACCCCCACAAACTCCTCCCTGGATCCCTTCTCCCCACATGCAGGCGGAGCCCTCACCGCCTCCAAGCAGCCGTGTGGACTGCCCCCCGGGCCCCCCTCCGGTCTCGCTCTCCCCACCCCGACCCGCCCCTCTCCACCCACCCTGGAGTGATGTACCCGCTGCCGGCTGTGGCCTGGAGGGCGGGAATGCCGAGCCGCGGCCGCCGGCACGAGTCGCAGCGGCGGTGACGACGACTGTCGGCATGACCGGCGGCCACTTCCCCGCTCTTCCCTCGCCGCCGCCCGACTGGGGGGGTCGCGCCTGCTACTTCCTGCTGGGTGCGGGGCTGCTGGCGGCGTGGAACTCCCTCATCACCGCCACCGACTACTTCGGTGCCGTGTATCCGGTGAGGGGAAGAGGAGGGGAAAGGGGGGGTGGGGGGTAGGGGGGCTGGCTTCTCCATCCCACCAATCCCATCCGGTTTCGTGTGTATGTATGTGTATATGTGTGTGCGGCCCTCCAGAGCCTCTTAACTCCCCCCGTGACTCCCGACCCTGGGAAGGCAGAAGGGGGAGATACAGACACATATTGTCCCTGACCACACTGCTGACCGGCCGACTAACTGACAGACGCACTGAAAGACTAGCTGACAGATTAACTGGCAGGCGCACTGACAGACACACTGACAGACGCACAGACTGGCCTCACCCTCCTCAATGCCCCCGTCCCCCCAACCAGGGCTGGCACACGGACCGGCTGTTCACCGTGTCGTACTTGCCTGTGTGTCTGCTGATGCTGGTGGTGGGTGTCCGGTGGGTTTGAGTGTGAAGGGGGGATGGGTCTGCTGTAGGGGCTGCAGAGGAATGCCGAGGGGGAGGAGGAGGAAGAGGGGGAGGGCCTTGCAGCACTCGAACACAACCAATCCGGGTCCCAATTACTGTCACCCCCGTGCTGTCACCCCTTGCTTTCGCACCGCGCTCTCCACTTCTCACCTCCTCTCCCTACGTTTTACCGCAACTACCCCCTTTCCCCCCTCCCTTTCGCGCCATTCCCAACAAAACACACACGGCCCCGGCACGCAGCTATCCGGACCTGCTCCCAGCAGCCGTCAGGATCCGCCTGGGATATGCGGGTTTCACACTCGCCATGGCTGCCGTACCGCTGGTGAGATGAAGGGTGTGCTGAGTCCAGGGAGGAATGGGGAGTAGGGCATTGAGTTGGTTGGGGTGGTTGTGTGTCGTCCAAATGTGGCCCTGACTACCGTTACCTTTACAGGAGCGTTACACGGGCTTTCCTGCCGACTGACGGACCGACCGGACCTGTCACAAGCCCCTACCATGTCCTTCACTGTCTGTCTGTCTGTCTGTTCCCCCGCCACCTCCGACTGCCCCCACACGCTCGGCTTCCCGTCCTGCCCCCACACGCCACCGTTAATGCCCAACTGCTTTACAACTGCTTCATAACTGCTTTGTAAACGAACTGATATGCAGCTGGACGCGCTGCTGCTGATGGAACCCGCCGGCAGTGGTGGCGGTGACGGCGGTGACGGTACGGCAGCCGCCGCCACCGCGGTGCCGGCGGCTGTGGGCGGTTTGTTGGCTGTGTTGGTGTGTGTGGCGCTGGTGGGCGCCTGTGATGGCCTGTGCCAGGGGGCTGTGTACGGCGAAGCCGCACAGCTGCCGCCGCCGTACATGCAGGTACGGTAAACCATTTGTCATGGGTTGGAAGGGGAAGGGGAAGGGGAAGGGGAAGGGGAAGGGCAGTAATTCCACCGAAAGGCGGAGGGGTGCGGGCGGAGGGTGTTCCCTGGGAGGGACGTGGGTGTGCGCTCACGTGCAAGTCCAACCACTAACGATATTCGTACATTGAAATGGTTCGGTCAGCACCCCGCCCTCCGTCAGAGCTCGTCCACTTATTGGCTGGCATTTGTTTGTTTCCAGGCTCCTCGCGTCTCGCGCCGCTAGGGCGGCACCACCTACCTGCAAACATGGAAAGAGTGCCTTTGCACGGGGGTATGGGGGGCGACTCCTGGAAACCGTGAAGCGTGCACGTAAGTACTCAGCTGTCAGGTCATCGGTTGTCACCGTGACCATCTACGCCACCAAGTCCCCAACCCAGCCCCCGGCGTGTGTGTTTTGCAGTACAGGGATACCGTCCTCAACGCCCCTGGCAACCGTTTTGGGTTTCCCACCCCTCGGATCCTCAGGCGCTGGTGAGCGGTACGGCAAGCTCGGGTTTGCTGGTGGGCCTTATGCGGATCACCTCCAAGGCGGTGTTCGAGAACGTTCCTGGGGCCCCGGCGAGGGATGAAGGGGGGGACTCTGTTGCTGGGGAAGAGGAGGAGGTGTTCAAAAGGAAGCGAGAGGGGCTGCGGGACGGTACGCGCCTCTACTTTGCACTGGCAGGTGCGCACGCGCGTGTGTGTGTGTGTGTGTGTATTTGTGGATGTAGGAGGGGTTGGGGTTCTGGAAGCGGTAGGTGGATGGCTTCAAGAGCCGTCCATATGGCCCGAGCGGGTTCTGCAGCTCCCGTTTCGGTGTTGGGGGATTGCGTTGCTGGCGGCACTATAGCAGCAGTAGCAGTAGCAGCAATAGCAGTAGCAGTAGCAGCAGTAGCGACAGTAGCAGCAGCAGCAGGAGCAATAGCAGCAGCAGCAGTAGCGACAATAGCAGTAGCGACAGTAGCAGTAGCGACAGTAGCAGTAGCGACAGTAGCAGTAGTAGCAGCAGCAGTAGCAACCTCAGAAAGACTGAAAATAATTCGGGAAACGGAGTGCACTTCCTTCATACTTGCCGTCCCGTCCCATCTCCGAACATAACATAAGGCAAACAACTGCTGAGTTGCATCTGTCACCCCCCCAACCCACACCTATACACACACACACACGCACTTTCGGCCCCACGATTCCGCATATATTTCCCCCACCATCTCCCCCTGTGGGATGTTCCTCAGGCCTCCTGTCATTTGCTTGCTTAATCGTGTACGACGCCGTACTGCCGCGCTTGCGAACGCTTCCGTCGCGTGGGACCGCCGTCGCAGCGGCAGCGGCAGCTTCTGATGTCTCCGACGGCGACCATGGTGGCAATCACGTGTACGAACATCATCCGTTGCTACTCCCGCTGCCCCTGGAGCTGTCTACGGAGTGCAAGTCTGGTGCGGGTAGCGGGGAGGGAAGCTGGCGGAGTGATGGCGGCGGCGGCGGCGCCGCCACGGCCGTCAACGTGGATGTCGACGGATCTTGGTCCGCCACAGTCCCAAGTCTTTACCCTCAGACGGTCGACGGCGACGTTGGCGGTGGCGGTGGCGGCGCCGCCAGCATTGCGTACCCCCCTGGCGGTGGTGGCGACGGCAGCCACGGCGGCGGCAGCGGCGGCGATTACCCTTTCGGGCCGCACGCCGGGGCGGTGGCATCCGCCGCCGCTGTCGGCGACCGCGGCGGCGGCGACGGCGGCGGCCTGTGCTCCGCCGCGCAGTACAGTCGTGGCTCGGATGGGCACGCTGGCGGCAGGCTCAGCGGCAGTGACGGTGCCGTACGTGTCCAGATCCTGCACTGCCTCTTCCTTAGCTGGGCCCTATGCGGGTCGCTGTTCCTGACGTACACCGTCACGTTATCCATCTTCCCTGGCTTCCTGGCGGAGGACGTCCATGTGGGTGCGAGGTGGCGTTGCTGAGTGCGTACCCTCCCCTGACGGGTGTGTTTTCCTCTCCCTTTCCTGGAGTCCATTTCCTCTTTCCCCCCTCCCGCGGGTTCGATTTGGGTTTGGGGTGAACAGCGCTGGGAGCGCTGGGAGGACTTGGGTGTGGTTTCCGTGTCAATGCATCACGTTACATACCTCACACTCTGTCGAGTATATTATATTAATGAATATTGTGTATTTTATATTAGCACATATAACCTCACCTTACCTCACGTCCGCGTCTTAACCCCGCTTGGGCTTTCCTCTGCCTCCCTCCCCCTCCCCTTCCCCTTCCCCCTCTCACACCCGCACACAGAGCGCCCAGCTGGGTGACTGGTACCCCATCCTGCTCATCACCGCATTCAACCTGGCGGACCTCGTGGGGAAGAGCCTGCCAGTCATGGAGCCGTTAAGGCCGCCGTTGCAATCGCCGCAACCGCTGCAACCGCCGCAACCGCTACCACAAGCGCGGCTTTCCAGAACGCCGCCGATACGACAGGAGGAGCAGCCGCCGCCGCAATTGCCGTTGCCCACAGAGACCTCCCCATACCTCGCACACCACAACCACAACCACAACCAGCACGGCCGTGAACAAGAACGTGGATATGAAGGTGCACATGACGGCTATCACGACCACCAAGATGACGCCGTCGGTAATGAACCCGGACATCCGTTGCTACTGCCCCTGCCGAAGAGGGCGGCTCCAGGGGGGAGAGGCAGTAGCAAAGCGGTGAGGCTGCGGACGTGTGGATGCCTGGCGGCAGCGGCCACGGTGCTACAGCCGTTGCGGCGGCCCGGTGGTCTGTTGACGGCGGCAGTAGTCCGGGGCTGTCTAGCGCTGCCCGCGTTCCTGGGTGCGGCGCACTGGCGGGCACCTGCCTGGGTGATGGCGGCGCTGACGGCGATATTGGGCGTCACCAACGGGTGCGTGCTGCGTGTGGCTCGTGCCCAGCCCTGCCCTGTCAGCTGTCGCCCGGGGGCAGCACCTATATCACCACATCATGATATCCCCCGCGTAGAGGAAAAACTGATGCGAAGGACTATTCCATTTTTCTCAAACTGTGGTGACGAAAAGTGTCTTCCGCCCCTTTTCGGAGGTGTCTTCATCTCGTCCGTTTCCTCTTCGCCTTTCCCTTCACCCCTCTCCCCCTCTTTCCTACTTCCCCTCCTCCTCCCACCCCAATCCCCCTCCGACCTCCCCGGCCACCTCCCGGTTGCCGGTGCAGCTACCTGACCACACAGGTGCTCACGATGGGGCCATCTGCAGTACTGGACAGCCCACACGACAACCAGAACGTCCGCAACAACCACAACCACCGCAACCACCACGCGCCGCAGCCGCAGCTGCCACAGGCTGCGAGGGCTGTGACGATGACGATGACTACGACGGCAGCAATGACCGAGTCTGCATTGGCATCTTCTGCTGCTGGAGACTGTCAGACGGCCAGTCGCGTTGTGCCAACAGCTGTGGTTGATGGCTGCGGCGGCGGCGGCGGCCGTGCCACGGAGGAGGGGGAGGTCGGCGGTGGAGGACTGCTCGGGGGCGCTTTGCAGCGCTGTTCACTTCAGGGCTTGGGTGCTGCTGCTGCAGCTGCAGCTGCAGCCGGGGCCCCCGCTGTCATCAGCCGCCATAGCGATGCGGAGGTTGTGGAAATTCTGCTGGTGATCAGCCTGGTGGCGGGTCTCAATGCGGGCGCGTATCTGGGCTGGCTGTGGCTGTTGTAGGCCGTCTTCCTAGCCTTCGGGCTGGGGCTTGTGGGGGATGCACAAAATTGCGCAAACCTCGTGAACGAGAAGACAAACACGAGCTTCAGAGTAATGCTCCTTGAGCCGTAATAATTCGTATTTACGTATGTACGATAACTTAGGATTGCGTGAAGTAGGGGTGGTGGGTATAGCTTCAGTGACAGGCCCTACTACCTTCCGCGCGATGTTTCAGGGCACCGTTATTCTTCTCACCATCACTCATGTGTGTGTGTGTGTGTTACATCCGCTGCTTGTACAAGCAACTAGGGGCCTCGGGTTTTTCAACAATTTAGGTAAATTTGCAAAAACATGTGTTTCCCCCTTCTTAACAACTGATCAAAGATTCGAGTCAGTTCATGCAAAAAACATGATACGCATCCCTTTGAAATACGTTATCCATGGATACTCGTCATGGTCGGTGCCTCAAAGATATGCTGTACTTTTGAGAGCTGTGAATGCAAAAAGCATGATTCGAGGTCGCAGGCCCCAACGACGGCTTCCGGGTCAACAACCGGTGGGACGACCGATGAGGAGCCTTTCGAGGACATACCCGGAGGTTCCACCTTCCCAGGGCTTCCGCGGTGAAGGCTCTCGTCCACCACCAGCAACATCTAGGCAGGACCGCCCGCACACGGGAAACCCTGCGCCAGCAGCCAATGACCCGCTCACATCACGTGTTGAGGACTTATCCCGCCAGATGGCCCGTCTGTCCCTTCTACTGGAGCGAGACTTGCCAATGCAGTTCTGTGAGCCAGTCTGCCCATCCTACGAGGAACCATATCTGGATCAAGTGGAATACCCCATGGCCCACTGGCGTCAAGGAGTCTCACCCACCTCGCCCGCTTTTGTGAAACAAGTGGCTGACTTTGGGCCCATGCCGCTTCCTGGAAAGCGCCCTGCAGCTGCCCCAGGCCAGGAGGCGCCTCGAGCTACGTGCCCCAGCTGTGCCGCTGCAGAGCGGAGTCCAGGAGTTACCCCAGTTACCCTCTCGCGGGTGACATCCCCTTTGGATGCCGCGTGCCTGTCAGCACTGCGTCCCGCTGAATCCCGAGAGGCCGACCCAGCCAAGCAGACGACGCGGGACCACCCAGAAACGCTACCATCGATTGAGGTACGAGAAGCCGCTGAGCCTCATCCCAGCCGACGTACAGCTGAGCCAAGCCGCCGTACTAATCCGATCCCGGCAGATCCCCTTGAGGAGGAACGGAGGATCGCTGAAGGCATTGTGGGCAAGGTCAGCAAATATGCCCTGCCATTCGGCACTACACTCCGGTGTAACCCAGTCCGCATCTACACGAAGGTCGGGAGTAAGGTGCTGAGTCTTGCACGACAGCATGCCGGACCCACCAACCCCCCACCAGTGCTGTCACGTGGACCGCTGCAACCCCCGAATGCGAATCAATTCATGCCAGACCGGCCCATCACCCCCAGTGCTGCAGACGGAGGGAAGAGCTCTGTCGCAGATTTGATTCCTGACAAAAAAATTGGTCCACCGGGGTCTTGAATTGTTCTGGCAGGCTTGGCGAAGGTATTCAAATTGCGCTGTGGAGCCCCGGATTTGTGCTGTGCTGGTCCTGAGTTGGCCTGTCCGGGAGTCGAATTAGCCTGTTGGGGTATCGAACTGGCCTGGCAGGATACCGAATTGGCCTGTTCGGGGTGTCAAATTGCCTGTCGAGTTGGCAGAGGACAAAGCGAAGGACTGGCTCAGGCTGGCATCCGGGAGCACATGACTTTTAAGGAATTTACAGAAAAACTTTGCAAGGGGACCGCTTACAAGTGCCTCATGTGCGTGTTGGTTTCGATCCCAGGACGTGGGGCACGAAAATTTGCACACCTGGTTACCGTACTCTGGCAATGTAGGGAGGCAACCAGTCAGGGCCACAACTGCAATACCCAAGTCAGCCGCCGAGCCCCCACTGTCTTCCTACCCCACTTCATCGGCAGTTTGTCCAGTTTATCCCACAATACTCATATTCGGGTGGAAACAATGGGGAATCTCCGATACACACCACTAAGCTCAGTACCACGCGCTACAATGAAATCAAATGAAAATGCAGCTGTCTGTAGAGAAGAATGTCTCCTCCATGTGTGTTTTGTGCCTCAATCCATCAAGCTCTCCGTTGGGCGGGGCATGGCCCATGGAGTTGCCCCTGGTATTCCGCCCATGCAACCAAACACCGAACAAAACGTTGCACGTCTGGGCCCATGTAAACCACCACACTTCCGTGTGGATTGGCGACCCGCGCTCCCCATGCCAGGGTCCCTCCCTCCTGCTGGTGGCTCCCAGATTGTCCACACACAAACGCCAAACGTTGGCGCAGGAAACAGACAGGCCACTGCAGTGGCATCAAACCACGCATAACCCACAGCGGCTTTCAGCAGCAGTACTGCTTGGCCAATGCGACCAGCCGTGTACTCCGTTGCGCATCTCTGGAAAAACAGGCTCTGGTAGCTTGCGCCACCATGCACCCCAAAAGGCGGGTCGATGAACACATTGCCCGTCCATGCGTTGCACTCCACCAGGCCATCGGATTCCGTATCGTAATGCACTGTCGGCCCAACACGTGTGTTAGCAGCCGCGGACAAGCATGGGTCCAGGTTGATCCCGCCAGGAGTGAACACCTCGCGCACCAGCTCTATGATACTCAGTGGGGTGAACCACTCCGGGCTCTCACTGGAGAGAAACAGGCGCACATTCCCACCCCCTCCGCTTCGAACCATATGGCCTCCTTCACCAGACTCGCCTTCGCTGGCATCCATGTCGCCACTGCTGTTGCTGCTGTTGTCGCTGTCAGTCATGGTCGTAGTGATAGCCCCACCGTGGCAAGTGTGCCGGGCAGTGGTGTTGATTGCGGATGGCAGAGGCGACATGGTACCCATACCCGCAGTTATTGACTCCGGGCCCTCCCATAGTGGCATCACCCTGGACACACTGCAACGACTAGATCTGCTAGACTTAATGGAGGATACAGATGTTACGTTTCTAAATGCCGAGGGCAACCGTGGGCGAGCTGCCGGCCGCGTGTGTGACCTCATGGTCTCCAGATGGGACCTTTCAATACTAATGTTACCTGTTTGTCAGCACGGCAATTAATTACCAGCTGCTTTGGGGCACAGATTTTCTCTACCCGATTCGGGTAAGCATCTCTTATGATAATGGCCGCCTGGAGTATACAAACGATCAAAACCTGCGCTCCAACACCGCGATCCACTTCCTTCGGGGTCATGGACCCGTACCCCCCACGCCACCCTCGGCGTGTCTTTGGGAGAACTCACCTGCACCAGGCAAGGGCCTCGGCACGTTTGTGTTGGAGGTGCACGATGCGCGCGTTGATGAACCGCTGCAAGAGGCCGTGTCCCCTGACATAATTCAGCCAGGCAATCGTAACGCCCCTGGGATTGAGGTTACGGAAGGAACCACAGGAAGTAGGGCCGAGCCTGAGTCCGGGAGCGTCATCAGTATGCCGGAACCATACACAGACATGCAGCGCCCCATCGAGCCGCTGATACAACGGATTCTGATGCCAAGCGGAGCACTCCCAGAAAGTACTACCAGCAGTGAATGGAAGGACGATGAATGGAGCATTGACAGCGTCGTAGGCTCAGAGGGCCAAGAGCCCCGAGCACGGGTCTGTTTGGGAGACAAAGAGCCCGAAGTTGTGAGCGCCTGGGATTGCGCGAGTTAGAGACGGAGGGCACTGATGAACCTCCAACTGCCCCTGAGGCCCTCGTGCAGCCGGACGTTGCTAGCACAGGCCTACTGCTTCCCCAACTACTGGCCCAGGGACAGGTAGCACAGGGCCCTATGACTGGGCCACAGTTTGATGCGCAGCTGCCGGCCGCCTCCACCCCCGACGGATTGGATCATGACGGGCACCTAAAGGAGGCCCATTTCCGGGGCATGGTGGAGCGCTCACTTCGGACCAAGAAGGCACCAGATCCCGAGCTACAGGCTCTTCTTGTGAGAGCCTACCTGGTTACTTGAACGGATTTAGCGACTAATCCACTTGTAAAGGTGTTGATAAACACCGGATGTTTCCCTTGGGGTTTTATAGTCGCTTGCAGTCCGTCTGAGGCGCTCGGGATAAGATGCCGTACAATAGTAGATATTACTGCAGAAGAGAGTCGCACCTTCCAAAGAAGAGTTACGATACAGGTCTGGCCGTGAACGGGCAGACGTGTGCAAGATTGAGTACGGAATCGAGTATGTGTACGGATCATTACAGCCATAGCCGTAGCCATGTATTGCTTAGTACGGCTATAGTCGAAAGATGACTAAGATAGTTGCATGTACTGTGTGTACGATATTCGCCTCGACGATGGAATGATAAGAAGGAATGGAGTCCCTACTCGGAAATATCTTTAGTCCTGAGCCAGGCTCTTACACTTCTAGGCGGCAAGGTCAATCCGAGCATGAGGAGCGTCAGCTGCTCGTCAAATGCTTGGTAGATAACTTTGACATGTTTGCGCTGACCAACCGAGAGCTGGGTCTCACCACGTGGGTGACTATGAAGGTGGGAGACCACTCACCCAGACCACCCATACGAGAGACCACCATTGTACATAAGCTTTACCGCCTATCACGTGTGGAGAAGGCCACGGGTGGATGCCGAGATGCATCAGATGCTTCAGGATGGGATTATCGAGTTATCTAATAGCCCCTGGGTGCCTCCGGTCGTCGTTGTACCAAAGAAGAATGGCGAACTTCGGCCCTGTGTGGAAATGTGCAAGGTGAACAACGACAACAAGGACATTCGGTTTCCCACCGGACATATTCAAGACATCTTAGATAGTGCGGCACCCTCAGGAGGTGAGACGCGCTACTACTCCTGCCTGGACCTCAAGTCTGGGTATTGGCAGGTGCTTACGGTGGACGAAGCTTCTAAGGAGCGCACGGCTTTTGCAACGCCCGCGACTCAATATCAGTACGTGCGGATGCCAATGGGTTTGAAAGGCGCCGCAGCTGTCTTCGGTACCCTCATGCATAAAGTACTAGGGCCTCTGCTAAAGGATCCACCAACGGCACGACAACTGGTTAACTCGGCAGCCCGGGAGAAGTGTGTGGTTGTGTACCTGGATGACATTCTGGTTTTCAGCCCTACGGTTTATAAATTATAAACCGTAGGGCTGGCAAGTAGGGTTGGTAAAAGCACTATAATTAAAACCCAAATAGCATAGTATAGTAAGAAATAGTACTATTTATAGTAATGTAGTACTATGATACTATTACTAGGGAGGTGCACGCTCCCAATAAAAAGGGGGTGTACGGCCAACCGTTGTAACTGAACATTATACGTTTGAAAGGTCTTCTTTTGTTCTTTATAAATAGGGGGGTCCTTGTGAAGCAGCTGCCCGCGTTTCCAAAGCACGTATGGTGTTGGATTGTAAGGTGCCCAAGTACGTTTGCGAGGAAGAGAATGTGGCCAGGCTGGAGAGGAAAGTGCAGTGGCATATTGGAATGTGAGATTAGCGTAAGCGAGTTACAGGGCGTTTTATTGCACGGGCGAATTTACGTGCAAATCTTTCACCGTAGCATCAGTCCTCAGTTCACTTCTTGGAACGAACATCAGCATAGGTGCAAGCCCTCTCGCTTGGAGGGATATGCAAACAAACATCCTGATAGGGGTAAACTCGCACGCTACCGAGCATTCAACCGAGCACATGCATGCTTAGTTGAATGGTGAGATGCGACCCCCCCTTCATTTCGTGCTCGGCAAGCCTGCCACCGCGTACCGGATATGTTGGCGATGTTACAGAACGCTGCACCTTGGTTTCTGTGCGCATTGCGTACGTTGCTCGACCCCACCGACCAAAACTACACGTGCCCAACTGAAGACATTCCCGGTGGTTGTGCAGCAGCTCTTGAGGCTGTTGCTGGCTGAAATCCATCCTGAGCTGTTGCAACACGGCTAACGCGGGCACGTCCCTATGCACAGCAAATAGCTGTTCCAAGCCAACAGCGGCGTCCATGCCACCGACAAGGCTCTAAACGTCTTATCTGTTCTTATGTTTAATTAAGTTTATGTATGTTATACTTTGCGCAACTTTGTAATTTGACTTTACTCTGAACAAGGTGCTGCATACAACTGCCTCTTCGCCAGCGCTTCATCTTCCGCGGCAGTTTCACGGGCCCAGAGTTGCAAGCTACGACGTTGGCTTTCGGTGCTTTTATTTACTGCAAAGCATCGACGCAATAGTCCAGCGTGCGGCTATGGCCAACATGCTCACCTGCGCAACGCGCTGGCGCACCTGGTCCTCATCCGCCAAGAAATTTTATATACATTTGTACAGGCGCATTTTGCGAATCGCACGCGCGCATCTGCGCGGCAAAATTCGCTCCTGACTTTTGGGACGAGATGTACGGAGTCTCTATTCGCGAAGTACGACCGGACACATTTGTGCGAGGGGCTGCTTAAAAAATCTACTTAGGCATAGGATAGCGAATCGCTGCAGTCCTCCAGAGCGCTTCTTAGCTCCGTGCCCGGTGTGGGCGCACCCCAAACCCCATGTCTCGTGGCGTATTTTGGCACATAACTACCAACAGAAGACCCAGTGATCACAGGAAAGCACACGGACGTCACACCATTAAAGTCCCTGCGCTACAAACAACCGTCAGGCCTAAACACAGCTCAGTCCGGCATCTCTCAGTCCTCATCATTCTGCGTTTCAGGGATGTACGGCACACCCTCAGGGGTCCGCAACGGCAGCTGCGTGTCCCCCTGGGTGCCCTGCTGCTGGTAGATGGTTCTTAGGTCAACCCTTCGTTAGTGCAAAACTTTAAAATTTTTTTAATAAAAATAATTTTGCTTAGAAAATTTTAACTTTAGAAACTAAATTACTTGTTAAGTTCTGGAAAACTTAAAAAAGTTTAGGAATTTATAAAAACTTATTAGTGTCAGGAAAAAACTTTAAAGAGAATCGCAGATATAGATTAAAGGTAAAAGTAAAAAGTAAAAGTTAAAGGTTAAATTTAAAGTAATGAGTTAGAAGGTCGTATTAGTCGAAAAATCTAGAAAGAAAATCTAAAGAAGAGAAGTTGGAAGGAGAGGTATGTGGTATAGAGTCTGTTTAGGGGCGATTAGCTAGGGTTGAGGAATTGTATGTTTTGTGAGAGAGGTTTGGAAGGTTTAGGCTGAGGGGATGGAGAAGTGACGAGTATAATTTAGCGAAGGTATGTTGTGTGTGGGGGGCTTGGAAGTAGTTTTTGTGTATAGGTGAGATGTAAAATTCTAGAGGTGGATTTTTAAGGAAAAATAAGTGCCGGGAGGGGTTTGGTCTAAGCTGAGAGTTTTATAGGTGTAGTGCGTGGAAAGTAGTGAAAAAAAGTTGTAGCTGGAAGAGAACTAGATGGGCTGCTAAGCGAGTGCAAGCTGACCTAAAGAAAGCTGCTGAAGCTATATTTAGCAAGGCACGTCACGACGCGTTTCGGCCTTGCCAGGGCCTCATCAGGTGACTCTTGCGCTAAGTTTAGGTGCTTTGCTATGCTAAGAGCCCCCTGAGATGTAGAAAACGTAAACTGACCGTAGTGGGCGAACTGTACCAGTGGTGAAGAAGTTTGGTGGTGGTAGTTGGTGTTCGCAGAGCGGTTTTAGTCCAATCGATGGTGGTTGTCAAGTGGTGAGCGAGGACGAGCCTGAATGAAAAACGTAATGATAGTGAGTTGTAAAGTCAATTGCAGTGGGTGTAGGAGCCTGGTTTGGAGGTTTATGAGCAGTTACGAGTTGGCATGGCGGGTATGTACGATATGGGTACTCGACGAGCAATCACGGAGGTTTGAATTGAAAACTAGCTGTGTTGCGATGGATTATTTGCGAGGAAAAAGAAAGGCGGACGGCTGGGGAGGACTTACTGTTGGTGGGCGATGATGAGGTTCGAACGGTGGCGTTGTGCAAGATAGCACCGCGCGAAGATTGTAGGTCTTTGTGGATTATAGGGAATAAAGATAAGTTGTTGTAGATGAGGATACTGAAGAGTGGTGGTATTTGATGTGAAAGGTGTGGGCTATAGGTGTGGCTATAGGTATGACGGCGTTCGGTGTTATAGGCGCGATTGAGCGAGTTTGGGAAAAAATGGTGAACGAGATATCAGTATATGTATTAAATGGAGCGCGCTTCTTTAAATCGAGTGTTCGTTGCGAGAGGGTGTGGTTCCCTGGAGTGAGTTGTATCGCCGGCGGGAGGTGCGAAGTGTCGGTTTGGGCGTAGTATACTTTTGTTGAAAGGAATATTTTTGTAGGCGTTGGGTTTTTTTGTGTTGGGTTGAGGGGAGATAGTCTGTATGCCTGGCGCATATAGTGGATTGGGAGTTATTGTGTTGCTGGCTTTTGCCGTTGGCGAGTTGTTGGAAAGGTGATATGGTAGTTAAGAAAAAGTGAAAAAAGAAAAAAAGGGTATCGCCGAGGCTTTCGTAAGAGAATAGCAGTGAGACGGTTGAGTTTGTTACAGAGTTAGTTAGTTATTACGTAATGTCAGAATGTGAAGGGATGTTTGGAATAAGGTGGGGATAGGGGGTATAGTCGTTACAGGAAGGTGTGACGGTGAAGCTCAGACTTCAGAGTCTTAAGGGATACGAGGGATATTTTAGGAAAGATCCACCAGACCGTGATAAGTGAAGTTTTGGTAATTACGTTATGGTGTAGGATTGACGATACGAGTGGATTGTAAGTAGTTTAAAGGGAGGGGGGAGTTGCCAAGGTGGTTGCTGCTGCAAGTACTGTGTAACGGGAGTCGAAAAACGTTAATGGTTAACGTGGCTGCTGCTGCTGCTGCTGCTGCTGTGCGTCCTGCTCCTCCTCGTCCTCTTTGCACTGCTGGAGAATCAGCTCAACCTCATCCGCCACTGCACTGTGGTTGCCCTGCAAACCCGCGTTGCCAAGGATGTAAACGATCTCTGTTGCTGTTGCTGGCTGAGTGACGCTGCGCGCTGCTTGAGGGCCTTTCAACCACCTTGCTTGATGTGGTGCGTGTTGGTGAATGACGGGTTCGCGGTGCTGAGCGGCTCGTCGCAGTGCAAGCAGACTAGCTGTGGCAAACCAGCCCACCATTCCACATCGAAGTTGTCCCAAAGACCACCCGCCCTAGAGTTGCGCGGTGGACGTCAGGGGGGACGTCGGCGCCAGGCTGCAAGCCTCTGAGCGCCTTGTCATTCTTTATACTAGAATCCCTCGACATTATTCATAACAAACCATGCATTGAGGCTCCTAGGCACGAGTATGGCCCTTCAAACTACAGCTTGACCGCAGATCTCTACTTGGTCCAACCAATACATGACACTCTCCAAGCTCACAACTAGTACTACATAGTACTATTTTTACTATGCTAGTTCACTATGTACGGACACGGGACGAGCGTCGTAAACTAGTGCCACTGTCAAGCTCCGCATTATATATAGTACTATTCCTAGAGCTATTCTAGTATAGCACTATTTTCTAGTATAATACCCGTGCCAACCCTATTTATAATCATGTACGACACTTCCAGCAAGTGTTCGACTTGTTACGAATGGCAGGCCTGAAGTTAGCAGCAAAGAAGTGCGAATTTGGGCAACGACGAGTGGTCTTCTTGGGACACTGCTGGATGGAGAGCAGGGCACTGTTTGACGCAACCCTGCTCATGTAGCAAAGATTGCAGCATACCCACCGCCGACCAATGCTCAAGAAGTACGAGCCTGGCTGGGTAGCATCGGCTACTATCGAGAATTCCAGGTTTTGGACTAAGTGCGAGGCTGAATGGTGGCTGAATGGTGTTGGGGACCATTGGAGGAGGATGCTTTCCAGGAGCTGCTGTGGAAGCGCGCTGTTGCATAAGCCAGTGCTCCGCGCCCCAGTTTTTAAATAGCAGTTTATCGTGCAGGTGGACTGGTGCTGCACAGCAGTCGCCGCATGCCTACCACCAGCAGGATGACCAAGGGCATGAGTACGCAGTGCAGTTTGCTAGTAAGACAATGACTGAAGTACAGCGCAGCAGACGGGGAGGTGTAACACCAGGCAAAGAGTACTCAGGGAGATGCCAGGGGAGCTGATCCCTTCTTGCATTCCTCCCCCCTTTGAGCAAACATCCTCGGGCACCCCCGGGCATATCCCGTAGGATTTAGGTTGTTTGAGATCCCGTAAGCTTGTGTGTTTGTTTGTTATTGTGACATTTCGTCAGTCCCCGATCGAGATGAAGGACTTTGATTTTACTCAGCTGGTAGACTTCTCACCTGCCCGGGCATGCACCTTTGGGGTAAGAGTATGCTGCATCATGCCCGGTGTGCGATATGTTCACACCCGAATTCGATCCGGGGAGTTCCCACCTCCTAGCAACTCGAACCAATGAAACACTAGGCAAAGAGTCCTCAGGGAGATGCCAGGGGAGCTGATCGCTTCTTACAGGAGGCCTACACTGCCCTGTGGGCCATCAACCACTTTCACCCATATCTGTACGGCACCCATTTTATCCTCGTCACCGATTCTATGGCGGTACGAGCTATTCATTGCGTACGAGTTAAGGACCAGGGTTAAGGGTGCGTGCACGCTCTACCCATTTACTAAGGCCAAAGCACTCATACACCGTACACAGCCTAAATAGCTGAGCGCACGCCAGCAACGAGAGCAGCATCTAGAGTGGGTTCCGCTGTTACACATCTTGTAGCAGCTGGTACACAGTACGGCTCTATAAATACGCGCGTAGCGCGACCACCAGCATCTCGAGAGGCCTTTTCAGCGGTCAGCTGCTACACATCTAGATCTTGTGTGTGTGAGAGAATTTCCGGAAGGGAAAGCAGGCAGCAGGGGGCTGGGCACCAATGCACAGTGTTGATCATGTGACTGTGCTTATGTGTGTAACTGATTGTGTATGACAGGGTTTTGTAGCTTGTTTCTCCCGTGGCCACTAGCATCTTACAGTTTTGGTCATGTACAGATGGTCCATGCATGTTTTTAGACGGAAATTATGTACATATATAGACCATTATACTTCTCATCTTTTATCCGAGCTAGGGTTGGTTCTACATGATAAAGGCAGTAAACCCACGCTAGCTGGCTGCAAGCGCCGGCATACTAAAGGAGGCGAAGCGACGAATCTCCAACGCCAAGCAATGTCCCAAAAATAGCTAATGCCTTAGAAAGGCAAAGAGGATCGGCGGAAGTAAAAGTGACCGCCAGAGTCTTACAAGCGCACAAGCTTAATTACAGAGCATCGACACGACTTGTGTCCATGGCATTTCTAGGTACCTGCACAAAAGACTACCAACTGCTGCTGCTGCTGTGCTTGAATTTCATGCATATGTATGGCTCATTTGCAGTAGCGGGTATCAAACAACGATCCTTTTGATCCACTGTGCAAAAAATGTACGGACTGTAATTCCAAAAATGATCTGGATTTTTAAGCGGTTAAGTAAATATCATGGGGCAGGCACTGGGGGGCACAATATCCCAAATAGCCGTATTTGCATCACAACCCTTGGATGAGGTGATTGCCCAACGTCGCCCATCATCATCCCGGCAGGTTAAGTCCAGGATGCCATCCCCGTCACAGTCTGCACTCTGCAGGACTGCGGTGTCGTGGATGCACCACCCGGATGGCCTGGTGCATGAAGCTGCGGCAAAAAAAACAGCAACGATAATAATTGATCAATGCCAGAAGCAGATCGGGCAGGTGGCCTAGCTAGGAAAGGCCACATGAAGGGTGGAGGCCAGACCAGCTGGAAATGAAAGGCCAGGCAGTGTAACTACGATTTCTAGACGCATTGAGCAGGTCGGTGCCACAAAGAGACTCAGGGCTTGCTTGCCAGCAGCCGTAGGATAACCGTACATGCATGCATGCATGCATGCATGCATGCATGCCACCAATACATTCGGTGATTGAGCATTGCTATGCGCTTGCATGCATGTTTTGTGCGATTGGGCATATGTATACAGTTGCCAAATATGATGCCTGAGGGGCTTCAGGTAAGGTGTACACACTGCTGCAATTCACTGCTCCGAAGCAAGTGGGGTTGAACAATAATATGCTATGATAATTCCGAGGGGCAATGCCGGTTCGAGGGAATTCCCTCGAACCATCTCAATTTCATCGCAACGGCTGGGTTATTACTACGTACCTGGATCTGTGGGTGGCGAGAATATCTTGGGGCAGGCACTGGGGGGCACAATATCCCAAATAGCCGCATTTGCATCACAGCCCGTGGATGAGGTGATCGCCCAACGTCGCCCATCATCATCCCGGCAGGTAACATCCAGGGCGCCATCCCCGTCACAGTCTGCACTCTGCAGGACTGAGCTGTTGTGGATGCACCACCCGGATGGCCTGGTGCATGAAGCTGGAACTGCGGCAAAAGCCAGCAACGATAATAATCGATCGGTGTCAGAAGCAACAGAAACATTTCTAGATGCATGGAGCAGCAGGTCAGTGCCATAAGGAAACGCAGCTCGCCTGCCAGGGTTTTAAAACCCCTAGGGTGCCTGCCAGTAGGGAAACCGTACATGTGTCCATGCCACCGATACAATCGCGGATTTAGCATAATTATGCGCTCGCGTGAATGTGTTGTGTGACTGGCTGGGCATATGTACATGCTCATACAGTTGCTAAATGCGATGCCTGAGGGGCACTGCAATTACTCCCGCCCTTGCTTGCTTACAGGATCTCGTAGGTTGAAGCATGATATGCTACATACGATGATTCCCCTGAACCATCTCAGATTATTCATCACATACAACTGCTGGGTTATTTCTACGTACCTGGATCTGTGGGCGGGGGGAATATCATGGGGCAGGCACTGGGGGGCACAATATCCCAAATAGCCGTATTTGCATCACAACCCTTGGATGAGGTGATTGCCCAACGTCGCCCATCATCATCCCGGCAGGTTAAGTCCAGGATGCCATCCCCGTCACAGTCTGCACTCTGCAGGACTGCGGTGTCGTGGATGCACCACCCGGATGGCCTGGTGCATGAAGCTGCGGCAAAAAAAAACAGCAACGATAATAATTGATCAATGCCAGAAGCAGATAGGGCAGGTGGCCTAGCTAGGAAAGGCCACATGAAGGGTGGAGGCCAGACCAGCTGGAAATGAAAGGCCAGGCAGTGTAACTACGATTTCTGGACGCATCGAGCAGGTCGGTGCCACAAAGAGACTCAGGGCTTGCTTGCCAGCAGCCGTAGGATAACCGTACATGCATGCATGCATGCATGCCACCAATACATTCGGTGATTGAGCATAGCTATGCGCTTGCATGCATGTTTTGTGCGATTGGGCATATGTATACAGTTGCCAAATGTGATGCCTGGGGGGCTTCAGGTAAGGTGCACACACTGCTGCAATTCACTGCTCCGAAGCAAGTGGGGTTGAACAATGATATGCTATGATAATTCCGAGGGGCAATGCCGGTTCGAGGGAATTCCCTCGAACCATCTCAATTTCATCGCAACGGCTGGGTTATTACTACGTACCTGGATCTGTGGGTGGCGAGAATATCTTGGGGCAGGCACTGGGGGGCACAATATCCCAAATAGCCGCATTTGCATCACAGCCCGTGGATGAGGTGATCGCCCAACGTCGCCCATCATCATCCCGGCAGGTAACATCCAGGGCGCCATCCCCGTCACAGTCTGCACTCTGCAGGACTGAGCTGTTGTGGATGCACCACCCGGATGGCCTGGTGCATGAAGCTGGAACTGCGGCAAAAGCCAGCAACGATAATAATCGATCGGTGTCAGAAGCAACAGAAACATTTCTAGATGCATGGAGCAGCAGGTCGGTGCCATAAGGAAACGCAGCTCGCCTGCCAGGGTTTTAAAACCCCTAGGGCGCCTGCCAGTAGGACAAGTTGGGTGTCGGCTTCAAGGAAGCCGGAAAAAGGGCGGGGCCCCTCTGCATCCGTACAGGCCGGTAGCAAAGGTGGCAAGTGTGACAATTGATGGGTAGTGTCAACGCGGTGGGAGATGTGCTTTGTTGCAGCAGTGCTGATGGTGTGAGAGCTAAGCTTGCACCGGCGAAATCGTCAGCACCGCCTGAGGGCTCCACGCGAATCGCATCCATTCCGGGTGCATGCCGCATGGACAGTGCGGCAGACCGCAAGTCGGAATGCCCGTGCGGGCAAATGGTAACGAAAGCTGGGTGAATTTCGGTGCTGTCTGTGATGTTTATCCCCGAAGCGCCAGCGGCCTCAGCAATCCGCCCCACAGCCGCGGGCTTCATCGGGGCACACCGCAAGTCTCAGGAGGCCCCGTGCATTGGCCAAAGTAAATGTACAAACAAGCAGCTTGTGTATTTCATAGAGAAATGAAAGTAAATTATGTTGGCCTGCTGGTGGCAAGTCGGATTGCCCATGCCGGCAAATGGTAACACAAGCTGGGTGTTCGAGTTATCATACGCTGTCATCTCGGAAATCAATTATGAGATACACGGCACCTTTTGAGATGAAATATAGCCCGAGAGGTGTTGATGTGACTTTTGAGGTCGGTGAATGGAGGCAGCTAAACTTGTTTGTGCTCATACGGTCTTTGTTAGCTACATGCGAGATACCTTGCAATAGAGAATGCTGTATAGTACCGATAACGCGTTTCAGCCGGGCGAGATATTATGTTTGGTCCGTTACAGACACACACACACACACACACACACACACACACACACACACACACACACACGGACATGGGCAATCCTACAGGTCGGGGCCCCCCTGGGCGCTTCGCGCTGGGGCCCCGCCCAAAAACCGTACATGTGTCTATGCCACCGATACAATCGCGGATTTAGCATAATTATGCGCTCGCGTGAATGTGTTGTGTGACTGGCTGGGCATATGTACATGCTCATACAGTTGCTAAATGCGATGCCTGAGGGGCACTGCAATTACTCCCGCCCTTGCTTGCTTACAGGATCTCGTAGGTTGAAGCATGATATGCTACATACGATGATTCCCCTGAACCATCTCAGATTATTCATCACATACAACTGCTGGGTTATTTCTACGTACCTGGATCTGTGGGCGGGGGGAATATCATGGGGCAGGCACTGGGGGGCACAATATCCCAAATAGCCGTATTTGCATCACAACCCTTGGATGAGGTGATTGCCCAACGTCGCCCATCATCATCCCGGCAGGTTAAGTCCAGGATGCCATCCCCGTCACAGTCTGCACTCTGCAGGACTGCGGTGTCATGGATGCACCACCCGGATGGCCTGGTGCATGAAGCTGCGGCAAAAAAAACAGCAACGATAATAATTGATCAATGCCAGAAGCAGATAGGGCAGGTGGCCTAGCTAGGAAAGGCCACATGAAGGGTGGAGGCCAGACCAGCTGGAAATGAAAGGCCAGGCAGTGTAACTACGATTTCTAGACGCATTGAGCAGGTCGGTGCCACAAAGAGACTCAGGGCTTGCTTGCCAGCAGCCGTAGGATAACCGTACATGCATGCATGCATGCATGCATGCATGCCACCAATACATTCGGTGATTGAGCATAGCTATGCGCTTGCATGCATGTTTTGTGCGATTGGGCATATGTATACAGTTGCCAAATGTGATGCCTGGGGGGCTTCAGGTAAGGTGCACACACTGCTGCAATTCACTGCTCCGAAGCAAGTGGGGTTGAACAATGATATGCTATGATAATTCCGAGGGGCAATGCCGGTTCGAGGGAATTCCCTCGAATCATCTCAATTTCATCGCAACGGCTGGGTTATTACTACGTACCTGGATCTGTGGGTGGCGAGAATATCTTGGGGCAGGCACTGGGGGGCACAATATCCCAAATAGCCGCATTTGCATCACAGCCCGTGGATGAGGTGATCGCCCAACGTCGCCCATCATCATCCCGGCAGGTAACATCCAGGGCGCCATCCCCGTCACAGTCTGCACTCTGCAGGACTGAGCTGTTGTGGATGCACCACCCGGATGGCCTGGTGCATGAAGCTGGAACTGCGGCAAAAGCCAGCAACGATAATAATCGATCGGTGTCAGAAGCAACAGAAACATTTCTAGATGAATGGAGCAGCAGGTCGGTGCCATAAGGAAACGCAGCTCGCCTGCCAGGGTTTTAAAACCCCTAGGGCGCCTGCCAGTAGGAAAACCGTACATGTGTCCATGCCACCGATACAATCGCTGATTTAGCATAATTATGCGCTCGCGTGAATGTGTTGTGTGACTGGCTGGGCATATGTACATGCTCATACAGTTGCTAAATGCGATGCCTGAGGGGCACTGCAATTACTCCCGCCCTTGCTTGCTTACAGGATCTCGTAGGTTGAAGCATGATATGCTACATACGATGATTCCCCTGAACCATCTCAGATTATTCATCACATACAACTGCTGGGTTATTTCTACGTACCTGGATCTGTGGGGGGGGGGAATATCATGGGGCAGGCACTGGGGGGCACAATATCCCAAATAGCCGTATTTGCATCACAACCCTTGGATGAGGTGATTGCCCAACGTCGCCCATCATCATCCCGGCAGGTTAAGTCCAGGATGCCATCCCCGTCACAGTCTGCACTCTGCAGGACTGCGGTGTCGTGGATGCACCACCCGGATGGCCTGGTGCATGAAGCTGCGGCAAAAAAAACAGCAACGATAATAATTGATCAATGCCAGAAGCAGATCGGGCAGGTGGCCTAGCTAGGAAAGGCCACATGAAGGGTGGAGGCCAGACCAGCTGGAAATGAAAGGCCAGGCAGTGTAACTACGATTTCTAGATGCATCGAGCAGGTCGGTGCCACAAAGAGACTCAGGGCTTGCTTGCCAGCAGCCGTAGGATAACCGTACATGCATGCATGCATGCATGCATGCCACCAATACATTCGGTGATTGAGCATAGCTATGCGCTTGCATGAATGTTTTGTGCGATTGGGCATATGTATACAGTTGCCAAATGTGATGCCTGAGGGGCTTCAGGTAAGTTGCACACACTGCTGCAATTCACTGCTCCGAAGCAAGTGGGGTTGAACAATGATATGCTATGATAATTCCGAGGGGCAATGCCGGTTCGAGGGAATTCCCTCGAACCATCTCAATTTCAACGCAACGGCTGGGTTATTACTACGTACCTGGATCTGTGGGTGGCGAGAATATCTTGGGGCAGGCACTGGGGGGCACAATATCCCAAATAGCCGCATTTGCATCACAGCCCGTGGATGAGGTGATCGCCCAACGTCGCCCATCATCATCCCGGCAGGTAACATCCAGGGCGCCATCCCCGTCACAGTCTGCACTCTGCAGGACTGAGCTGTTGTGGATGCACCACCCGGATGGCCTGGTGCATGAAGCTGCGGCAAAAAAAGCAGCAACGATGGTAATTGATCAATGCCAGAAGCAGATCGGGCAGGTGGCCTAGCTAGGAAAGGCCACATGAAGGGTGGAGGCCAGACCAGCTGGAAATGAAAGGCCAGGCAGTGTAACTACGATTTCTAGACGCGTCGAACAGATCAACGCCACAAAGAGACTCAGGGCTTGCTTTCCAGCAGCCGTAGGATAACCGTACATGCATGCATGCATGCCACCGATACATTCGTGATTGAGCATAGCTATGCGCTTGCATGAATGTTTTGTGCGATTGGGCATATGTATACAGTTGCCAAATGTGATGCCTGAGGGGCTTCAGGTAAGTTGCACACACTGCTGCAATTCACTGCTCCGAAGCAAGTGGGGTTGAACAATGATATGCTATGATAATTCCGAGGGGCAATGCCGGTTCGAGGGAATTCCCTCGAATCATCTCAATTTCATCGCAACGGCTGGGTTATTACTACGTACCTGGATCTGTGGGTGGCGAGAATATCTTGGGGCAGGCACTGGGGGGCACAATATCCCAAATAGCCGCATTTGCATCACAGCCCGTGGATGAGGTGATCGCCCAACGTCGCCCATCATCATCCCGGCAGGTAACATCCAGGGCGCCATCCCCGTCACAGTCTGCACTCTGCAGGACTGAGCTGTTGTGGATGCACCACCCGGATGGCCTGGTGCATGAAGCTGGAACTGCGGCAAAAGCCAGCAACGATAATAATCGATCGGTGTCAGAAGCAACAGAAACATTTCTAGATGAATGGAGCAGCAGGTCGGTGCCATAAGGAAACGCAGCTCGCCTGCCAGGGTTTTAAAACCCCTAGGGCGCCTGCCAGTAGGAAAACCGTACATGTGTCCATGCCACCAATACAATCGCTGATTTAGCATAATTATGCGCTCGCGTGAATGTGTTGTGTGACTGGCTGGGCATATGTACATGCTCATATAGTTGCTAAATGCGATGCCTGAGGGGCACTGCAATTACTCCCGCCCTTGCTTGCTTACAGGATCTCGTAGGTTGAAGCATGATATGCTGCATACGATGATTCCCTCGAACCATCTCAAATTATTCATCACATACAACTGCTGGGTTATTTCTACGTACCTGGATCTGTGGGCGGGGGGAATATCATGGGGCAGGCACTGGGGGGCACAATATCCCAAATAGCCGTATTTGCATCACAACCCTTGGATGAGGTGATTGCCCAACGTCGCCCATCATCATCCCGGCAGGTTAAGTCCAGGATGCCATCCCCGTCACAGTCTGCACTCTGCAGGACTGCGGTGTCGTGGATGCACCACCCGGATGGCCTGGTGCATGAAGCTGCGGCAAAAAAAGCAGCAACGATGGTAATTGATCAATGCCAGAAGCAGATCGGGCAGGTGGCCTAGCTAGGAAAGGCCACATGAAGGGTGGAGGCCAGACCAGCTGGAAATGAAAGGCCAGGCAGTGTAACTACGATTTCTAGACGCGTCGAACAGATCAACGCCACAAAGAGACTCAGGGCTTGCTTTCCAGCAGCCGTAGGATAACCGTACATGCATGCATGCATGCCACCGATACATTCGTGATTGAGCATAGCTATGCGCTTGCATGAATGTTTTGTGCGATTGGGCATATGTATACAGTTGCCAAATGTGATGCCTGAGGGGCTTCAGGTAAGTTGCACACACTGCTGCAATTCACTGCTCCGAAGCAAGTGGGGTTGAACAAGGATATGCTATGATAATTCCGAGGGGCTATGCCGGCTTGCGGGAATTCCCTCGAACCATCTCAATTTCATCACATACAACGGCTGGGTTATTACTACGTACCTGGATCTGTGGGTGGCGAGAATATCTTGGGGCAGGCACTGGGGGGCACAATATCCCAAATAGCCGCATTTGCATCACAGCCCGTGGATGAGGTGATTGCCCAACGTCGCCCATCATCATCCCGGCAGGTTAAGTCCAGGATGCCATCCCCGTCACAGTCTGCACTCTGCAGGACTGAGCTGTTGTGGATGCACCACCCGGATGGCCTGGTGCATGAAGCTGGAGCTGCGGCAAAAGCCAGCAACGATACAAGGTACAAGTTCTGCACACATGTGCGGGTCTGTCTGTAAAAGCCGGGGGGGCCATGGACGTTATATTTGTAATGATGCGGGTACAGGGGAGGCCATTATCATCCTCTCTCGTTCGATTCACAGTGAAACGCCTCAACTCGACGTGTCTGGTCTGGTAGATTTCCGAGATGTACCTGGGCAATGCCAGGGGTAGCGCCTCAGTCATAATGGTGCGCATGCTGCACCCCTTAAAGACTAGGTCACCATCGTACTTAGCCCGTATGCTTTTGTGAGTGGGACATTCCTCGAAAACATGCAGTTCATCTTCAACCGCTCCACAGTCACAAAGCCTGCAGGTACACGCGATGCACAGTCGCCCATAAGGCCCATTTACTTCTAACTCCCAACAGCCTAATTATAACCGGAAACGCATGAGCTCTTGATGCAGATGCTGGGACATTGACACTTTAGTGTGCTCCAACAAATTGAGACGTGCACCCTGAGGCGCTGCCGCTCTCATCCAGTTCATATAGCGACAAGACTTGGCTCCGGTAATCCCTATGGGGAAAACGGGTTCACCTAAGGTATTCGGACACTCCCACCGTGCATCAAGCCACTTGGCAAATACCTTCAGAATGTTCTCAACTGGGAATTTAAGGGTGGCATAATGCGCTATGAGATTATCGCCGCGCGTTTTAGTGGGGGCTCCGTTCTTAAGCCAGACAAGAAAGGCTAGTACCTTTCTTGTCCAGCATTCAGTAACACCCCCGTGTGCCAATTCCAGGTCAGCGACAAATGCCCGATGACACAGCGTTCCTGGCCTCTTAACCACGGAGTTCCAACAAGATTGGTCCAATGGAACTGGAGGGGCCTCTGTGACAGTTCACGGTATAGGGAAGTCATAGTCGGGCTCCTCGCCCCAACTACAGATCGCATGTACGCACGCTGCTCCTGGACCATGGGATTAGTCATAGCACCTTCGAAACTCACATTTTGTGAAGTCAGGTCCCCAACTTGCGCTCCATAGGAAAACACCAGTACAACTAGTGTATTATAGAGAGACATATATAGATTTAGGATGGTATTTTTTCTTATCTTGATACAGATCTGTGGAGGACTTGGTATTCATTACTAAGCGCTTCGAGTGCAGTTGATTTGTAACATGGTGCTAAGTGATCTACTAAGCGGCCTCTTAAACATGTTACCAGGTAGCTATGAAGGACATAAGAAGTGGGTAGCACTAAGATGATATTAAGATGATATTAAGAAGGTATTAAGTGGTGGCGTTCCATGAGTGAGAGTGCTGAGGCCGAACGTGGCCCGCCTCCCTGCAGCGAGTAGTTGCTTGGTACATGCTGAAAACTGCGTTCCTGGGCCATAGTGCAACCCGAGGTACCGTGCCGCCTCGTTGCCGCAACCACAACCCCACCCCACCTAGCCGGTACTCAGCTTCCATAAGCCGCTTCCGCTCACGTGTAGTGCCCCCGAAAATGAGGAACACTTGGCGGCATTCGCAGCCATACCCGTCGCTGCAGTAGGCTTCGAGTAGCCCAGAAGACATTCAGCTCTATCGTGCCCAGTCGCCACCAGTGATACATCGTCAACGAAAAGCAGGTTGGTGAGTTCACCGCCCGCCAGCTGGCTAACACTCTGCTCGTGGAGAGTGCTCCATCGGCTAGGAAGGCGTACACGGCAATCAGCATCGTGAGCATCAATCTAATGAGCAAACACTCCTACGAAGAGTCCAAAAAGGGTTACGCTAAGGGGGGACCAGTGCTTCACACCACCCCCCACCGTGAATTCAGGTCCCATCCTATTCCCCAACTTAACCCGAACCTTCACGTTAGCGTAGCTAGCCTTCAGAGAACCGAGGATGCGCCTGTGTAGTCCATACGACATGAGGAAGTCCCAAAGTGTCTCATGGTCAATGGAGTCGAAAGCCTTAGTAAAGTCAATTTGCATGATAATAAGGGGCCTGGCTCCGGCCACAGTGTGCTTCGAGATAAGATCCCTTGATGTAAACAAGTGATGCTCGGTGACAAAACCATGCCTACGCCCAACCTAGCGGCACGTAGCCTGTTGCCCTCACAGTAATTGGTGAGTCGCCTCCCGATGATATTGGCATGAAGTTTGCCTAGTGGGCCCCCAACCGCAATGCCCCGGCCGCGGTAATTGTCACAGCAGGACGCGTCCCCTTTTTTGGATAAGGGTGCTAGTCGTGAATCCTCGCGGGTATTCAGCTCCGTATATGCGGTTGTACAGCACCGTTAAGTAAGGTGCCAACACAAACACGGGCTGCTGCCCTTCACTTTCCCTGATGCGTACTTATAATACTCAGCCGGGGTTCCCTCCAGGCCCCCGGACTTATTGTTGCGCATAGCCTTGAGACCACTAACAATTTCGGCCTCCGTAAAAGTCATCCTTAGCCAAACAGCTAATTCCCGCCGGTGTGTCACCCGGTCCTCATCCTGCCATTTAAACTGGATAACTTCGTTGCAGCAATGGCTCGCGTCTTACGCACCATTAAGCACCTTGGAAAAATGCTCGGCAAAAGCATTAATATCTGAGATCCCGCAAGGAGGCGGTTTTCACCCACGCAGCCATGTCCACAAGCCGCGTGGGTTGGACCGGGCGTCCTTTATCCTCCTCCGCATATTTTCCAATTCAATCTCCTGAATAGCGGCCTTTCTGGCCTTCTTTAAGATACGGTGCTTGGCCATCCAGGTAGCCTTATGTATGTCAGGCAGCGCGAACACTATTACCCTAGCCAATTTCTATCTCCGAACTCAGTGTCAGCAGATTTTAGCAACTACCATTAGAATCTAGCAGTATCAAGTGTACAATTGCCATTCACAAATGGCCAAGCAACCTAGTGATCGGTAAAACGAGCAGTGTTATACACGTACCCTGTGCTGAGGTCTGAATGATAAGAAGTACTGCAGATGAGAGCAGCAACAGACTTTGGAGCTTCCCAGGCATTCTTGTTTGTTTTGCGTAGTCCCGCCGCATTTGCTTGCCGTCCATCCAGTGCCTGTAACGTCGGCGTACGGACTGCGCTTGCAAGGTGTGTTGGCTTCCCCGACCACTCTCTGCACAGCGAGACAGCGAGCAGTTTGCGCACTGTGTCTAAGCGATGGGCCTATATGGATTAAAGGGGCCCCACGCTTTTTCCAGCTTGAGGAAGCCGACACCACCTTGTTCCTAGTTCCGATAGTGGGTCATATCCTCCTGGCTCATTTGGGCCCTAATTGGCGCTACTATAAGCTCAACAAGCTTCTCTTACCTTTTGGTAGCCACTTGGAAACTTTTTAACGGCTAGTTAAAGGCTAGCGGCGACGAGCATAGACTCGTTATGGTGACAACAGGGTCTTAAGCCACAAACATATAATGATACATATCATATATATACATAAATTTCTAACCTCGAGCAAGGGCATTAGTGCTTTATACTTGATGAACTAACTGCCCGTAGCTGTCGTACCCTGGAATTCGAACAGTTCAGAATTCTGACGAATCGACCATGCATCGAAACAACCCTGAACCCGTCCATTTCCAGCTACGACACAGAAGTTTGTCTTCGGATTCAGGCCCAGGCTGGTGTGCGGGCAGGCAGGCGGGCAGGCGGGCGGGCAGGCGGGCGGGCAGGCGGGCAGGCGGCCGCGGCTGTTTGAGGCTATAGGTATCAATTTTAGCCCAGCAGGATTGACACAATTGAGCTACACCCGCCCCCGCACCTGCCCCTGGGCCGAAGCTGGTTCCTACAAGATATTTGCTTTGAACATGGAAGGGCGCACATGGAAGGGCGTTCATTGAACACATGGAGGGCTGTCGCGTCATACGACTGTAGCACCGAACAAAACACGTGCGTACGGCAGACTAGATTTCATTAGCTTGTTAATTGTGTACCGTACGCATGCGTAGTCGTCACAACGGGTTACGGGCACACTAATTTGGGCAGGCCATGCCCAACCGTGCTGCGTAGACATTAGACCTCACATTTAGCCCCGAACTCCCCGAAATGGTAAACTTGCAAAATGAGTTTCCATGGTTTTGGAGAAGAGGTCTGCCCCGAAATTAGTTTCGGCCCCTTTCGTCTAGCGCCCTAGCTAGCCCTCCTGACCCGGTCCAAAAAAGGCGGAAGGCCCCAGGACAACGTTCTTTGGGTTCACTACGATAAGGCAGAATTCAAAGGTTAAGCACTTGTGCACTTGTGCACGTGTGTCGGCATGAACGGCCCATACGAAAGCTGCGGATTGCTACACAGCAACTGCAGCTCGCCTCTTAATATCGGTTGTCGTGGGTTGTGCGTTGAGGGCTGGGTGATGCCGCGGTGTCTGTGGGGCGGGAGTGGTGAGGTTGGATGTGCAGGCGGTGCAATACAAATTAGTGGTGTGCTTGGTCTGCTGAACCCCCTACTGGGGCCCCTACTAGGCGGCACAATAGTTCCGGCATGTTGTGTTGAGCGCTATTGTGCTTGCTAGCACAAGATTCACCGTTATGAGGAGGCAGGTATGTTGTGTAACGCATGGTATGTCCATTTAATGTCGTGACTACCGCCGCGTGGCAACAGTTTCGGTGCAGAGCTTTCAGCAACGCTTTCCAAGCTACTTGACGGCCTCGAGTACTGCTTTTAACCATGACTTCAGAATCATACTTTCGCTTGTCTCTTACTGCTGTGAGTTCCAAAGCATCTCTGCAGTTTATGAGGCACACGATGTCACGCTGAAACACGAATTCAGCTTCCCGCCGTGTCGTACTTCGCACCTGCGAAGAAGCTGCAATTTTTTCGCAGAACGGCCGGTGCACCGGCCGGTGCACCGAAGAAGCTGACAGCTTTTGGGGGCGGGGCCCCAGCGCAAAGCGTCCAGGGGGGCCCCGCCCAGTAGGATTGCCCATGTCCGTGTGGCCGTGTGTGTGTAACGGACCAAACATAATATCTCGCCCGGATGAAACTCGTTATTGGTAATATATTGCATTCTCTATTGCAAGGTATCCCGCCAACAAATATCGTATAAACACAAACAAGTTTGGCTGCCTCCATTGACCGAGGTCAAAGTCACATCAACGCCTCTCGGGCTAAATTTAATCTCAGCAGGTGCCGCATATCTCATAATTGAATTCTGAGATGACGGCGTATGAAAACTCGAACACCCAGCTTGCGTTACCATTTGCCCGCACTGGCATTCCGACGGGCCACCAGCAGGCCGACAAATTTGCTTTCATTTCTCTATGAAGTACGCAAGCTGCTCGTTTGTACAATTACTTTGGCCAATGCTCGGGGCTCAGTGTGTCGGCTTCCTGCCTCCCGCGCTCTGACAAGCATACCTCCCACAGCATCAGCACTGCTGCAACAAGCACAGCTCCCACCACGTTGACACTACCCATCAATTGTCACACGTGCCGCCCTAGCTACCGGCCTGTACGGATGCAGGGGGCCCCGCCCTTTTTCCGGCAAGGAAGCCGACATAGACTTGTCACCTGTCTATCTCGCTATATCGCTGGCGATGTCCATACGCATATTGATACATGAAGGACATCATAATTTCCTGTTCTTTCCGACATCTGTTTTCAATACTGGGTGGCCGCTAATTGCGTTTAACAAAACCTTTTTATTTCGATTGTCACTTCATTGTGGGCCGGCTTCCATTAGCCGGTTAGAGCCCGCTATAAGGGTAAGATAACTGGCATTCCACCCACTAAATGTTGGCTAACTGTCGCGTGCCTCTATGGTAGCTCCAGGGAACGAGCCGATACGGAAACCTGCGGGAACGGTAAACTTGCGGAAACAGTTTCTGCCCGGATTACGCAGCATCAGTCCAGATTGGCGGAATTGTGGAAAGAGAATCCGCATTTCGGCGTTTGCGGTACGGCGGAAACTCAAATCGTGAATCTACGCGCGCATTGGGCATATGAATAGCATTTTTCAAACAGTTATAAACTAGAGACTTAGGCACGATGTCTACAATCTCGGATCCCAGCAGTGGGGCCGACGATGTTATAGAGAATGCCTGTGTGACTGCTCAAAAGAAGGGCGGCAGGCCTGCTGACGATGTTTGGGATCACTTTAACAGAGCTCCTTACGATAAGAGCAAGAACTGCTCCGCTTCTTGCAAGCACTGCCCTCACAAGTTCAAACGCGCGTGAATCTCTGACCTTCGCTTCCACCTAGCCAACCAATGCCCCGGAGCCCCTCCTGCGGGGGTGGCGGCGGCGCCGGCTGCGGCGGTGGTGCTGGGGCCTGCCAGGGCCTGCTCGATCTCCAGGGTGGGGACCGGCGACCTGACGCTGGTCCCCACAGGAGGACATCCTCGATGGTCTTCTTGTCATGCTTGGGGCCGCGAAGGCTGTCGTACCACATCTTGATCGTGGTGATCTTGTTGACGATGGACGCCTTGAAGCGGTTGGACTGCTTGTCGTGGACCCAGCCCATGATGCTGAACGTGTGCTCCACACCAGCACTGTGTGGCAGAATGTCCAGCAGGGTCAGGGCCAGGGATGACACCTCCTGGGATGAGGGCTGGGACTGGAGCCCCACCCACCACAG